AGGTTGAGCAGCAGGTGCTTCATCTTCGGCATTCTCTACATTCTCATTAAAATCAAGGTTTGCCATATCTGCAGGTTGAGCAGCAGGTGCTTCATCTTCGGCATTCTCATTCAAATCAAATGCAGGCAGAGTCACAGGAGGAATTTTTGTTCTCCAGAACGGATGTGAACAAAGTTCAGGCCACTGTATTCTTTCTGATGGATTCTTTACCAACAGAGAATTGATTAAATCAACAAAATGTTGACTGGGATGACCACAAAGAGGTGGAATAGGATCTGAAAGAATGGATTTTATATTATTATATTCTCTTCCCATAAAGGGCGGTCTTCTTGCAAAACACTCATATAAGGCACAGCCTAGCGCCCATAAATCTGATGCGTATGAATAGATTCCAACATCTTCAAAAAGTTCAGGAGCCATGTAACAGGGTGTTCCGCGTGTTGCAAGTGGTACCTAAAAAGGTATACAAACATTCATATCGTAAATGACAAGAATTATGTACTGGAAAATTAAAGATAAGTAAACATTCAGATCAAACATTCAGAGCAGAAACTTAAATTTGGGCAAGAATTCAAAAGGAACATGAAACTTCATTAAAATCAAGAACTAAATACAAAATTGGTACCAAAATTCACCAAAGACTCACGGCCTGTCACTCTCGTGCTCAGAAAAATTCAGTTGAAGAACTAGACTAACTGAAGAAAAAGCTAACTAACTCTGAAATTGAAAAGAATGAAAAAGAACCTAGAAGGAACCAGAGTAAAACCTTATACAACTCCAAACTAAAGGAAAAAGAAAAAAAAATATTGAACCAAGAAACTTAGTACATTAAAGATTTAAAAACATACCGAGGAAGAATGAGTTGATATATTTTTCAACTCTTTTGCCGATCCAAAATCACATAACTGCAATAATTAAGGAAAGAATAAGTTCACACTTCATTTAGAATTAGGTCAAATTGATTTTAAAAACTAAACCAAGCAAATGTACCTTTGCGCATCCATATTCATCGAATAGAATATTCGATGGTTTAATATTATAGTGAATGATTCCTTTTGAATGTAAAAACCTGTATATCACAAGTGCTTAGGATAAGAATCATAAAAGCTAAAAGTAGAAAAACAGACTAAACTAAGACGGTTAAACCTATTGTAAAGCTTTCACCATGTCATACGCAAGGTCATGAATAGACTCTTCGGAAAGCATACTATCCTGCAATTCGTTCATACCAAAAATTTCGAAGATCTCCATATTAAAATTCATAAGCATATTTAGATCAGATATGAACATTTTAGACTAAGATAGATGAGAAGGAATAAAAAGGCATGCAAACAACAAAGAATAAAGGACTATTTTACAAAAGCTATGCATAGCAAAGTGAATATGATTTCCAGGACGACCTAATCCTCGACAACGGTGCCATTTGTTGAAAAGAGATTTTTTTAAGCTGTCAAACCAGGCTCTTGAGACCGGTTTCAATCTATAGATTGCCTTAGTTAACTTGCACACATGTTCAGGTTTAGTTAGGTCTACAAATCCTTCTGGTTGATGCATAAACACACTTTCTTTGAGGTAGCCATTTAAGAATGCATTGTTTATGTCCAAATGTTTGACCTCCCAATTGAGATGTACTGCAATTGAAAGTATGATTCGAACTGTACTAGCCTTGACAACTGGATTGAAAGTCTCTTCATAGTCCAATCCAGTTGTTTGTTGAAATCCTTTTGCAACTAATCTTATTTTTCTCCTTTCAGTTTTCCCATATGCTTTGTACTTGGTTTTGAAGACCCATTTAGAATCAATGATGTTTTCTTGGTCTTGATATGTACCAAAACCCAAGTTTGATTTGACATGAGTGCCTTATACTCATTGTCCATAGCTTCTTTCCACTATGGCCTTGTGAGTGATTCTGTGACATTTTCTGGTTCCCTCTCATCTATGCAAGTTTCAGCTAACCGGAGATATAGCTGCTTTGGCTTGTGAATTATAGTGTTAGGGGCTGGCGAGTATACGAGAGAAAGAGATATAGGAGAGAAAAAGAAGGGAACCGAACGGTAGAGGACATGGGCCGAACGATGGAAAGGGTGAAGCACGATGGCCGAACAGTTAATAACAAGGAGCGAGCAGACCGGATGATAGAAGGTGGAGAGGGACCTAATCGAGCGGTAGAAGGAAGAGAGAAAGAGGACCGAACGGTTAGGAGCAGTGCCGAGCGGTAGAAGGAAGAGAGTAAGAGGACCGAACGGTTGGGAGCAGTGGGGAGCATCCTAACTGACATTGCAGTTAGGATGGACGAGACATTTATTTGAATTTATGGTCATATCTCAAGATATTATTACATATAAGTTAAATAGGATAAATAAGGATAAAGATATTCTTACCAGATAATCATAATAAATAGGCGTAATTACTTTTATTCTTTACCTTTTCGGGAGGGAGTGATTAGGAATAACATAGGGGAAACCTAGGGGGAAGGATATGAATTTTGATTATCAAGTTTTGTAAGAGAGGTTATGCTCTCAGGTAATTGACGGAGATCCTGCTCCCAGTTATTGGTTGTTATCTTTGATTCAGTATTTCTATTCAATAACAGAGGTATATTAAGTAAATTTCCATTGTTCCTTATCACTGAGAGTGTGTGATTGAGCCTACTGGTTACGTCCCATACTCAGGTACGTAACATCTAGCCTTATTAGAGCTAAAACAACGCAGATAACCCTCCAGTATTCGGTTGAGCACTTCGGTCTGCCCATCCATCTCTGGGTGATAGGTTGTGCTCATAAGAAGTTGGGTACCCTGCAGCCTAAACAATTCCTTCCAAAAGAGATTCAAGAAGGTAGGATTGGACTGCCCCCACCCCTCTATCAGAAGCGTCACACTCCACATGAAACGTTTGTGCGAAGTCTGGCAAGGCCAACACAAGGGTTGTGGTAATAGCCTCCTTTAAGGCCTTCATAGTAGTTACTCCCTAACCGAATTGCCTTTCCTTCAGCAGATCAGTCAGTGGCTTCGCTATCTTGCCATAATCTCTTATAAACCTCCTGTAGTAGCCCGTAAGGCCTAAGAAGCCTCTAAACTCTTTAATGTTTCTAGGTTCAAGCCAATCTACCACTACTGACACCTTCTCACTATCAATTTACACCCCTAATTTTGAAATCATGTGACCCAGATATCTGATGTGCCTCCTCCAAAATTCACACTTCTTGTTTGCAAAGAACTGCCGATGGGCCAACATTTCCAGCACCTTTCTGAGGTGCCTCCTATGCTCTCCTATGTCCTACTGTAAATCATTATGTCGTCAAAGAAAACTAGGACACTATGCCTATGAAAAGGCCTTAAAAAGGTGTTCATCATGCACTAGAAAGTGGCAGGGACATTGGAAAGCCCGAAAGGCATAACCAAGAACTTGTAGTGACCTTGGTGAGTCCTGAATGTTGTTTTCTAGATGTCCTCCTCCCTCATGCGAATTTAATGGTGTCCAACTCTCAAATCCACTTTCGAAAAGTATGTTGCACCCTGCAGCTCATCTAACAACTCTTCAATCACCGGTATTATAAACAAGTCAGGTATTGTAGCCCTATTGAGAGCTCTATAATCAATATAAAATCTCCAGTTGTCATCCCTTTCCTTCACCAAAATCACAAGGCTGGCGTAAGGGTTGTTGCTAGGTCTAATGATGCCATTTCTAACATTCCTGCCACCTGTTTCTCTATCTAAGAATTCATCAAATGGAGATATATGTAAGGTTTCACATTGATCGGATCTATTCCTTCCTTGATGGGTATTTTTTGGTCTAAGGGTATAATAGGAGGAAGACCTTCGGCTTCCCTGAAAATCCCATCAAACTTGCCTAGGTTTGCTCCAAGTCTTCAGCTTGGTCGTGAGTCAGTTGCGCCCTTCCCTCACCTCCATCTTCTAACTCTGTCTGACCCAACCCCAAAACCAAGGCAACTACCTCTATCTTTGTTTCCTTCAACAACGCCTCTAGGGATACCACCCTTCTAGTTAAGGTAGGGTCCCCCCTGATCAACACCTCCTCATCCATCTGACCAAACTTCATTGTCAAATTCTCCCAGTTTATTGTAACTTCTCCTAACGATGCTAGCCAAGCCACCCGCAATATGAGATCTACCCCTCCTAACTCGAATAGGTAGAATTTCTCCTTGACTTCAACTCCTTCCAAAAGTAACGAAACATTGTTACAACACCCTTGGGTGGTCTTCCTCTGCCCATCTCCGAGGCACGCCTTATAGGGAGGTGTTTCTTCCACTTTCAACTTCAATTCCTCCACCAGCCTTGTCGAAATGAAGTTGTGACTGGCCCTACTGTCTATTAAGACCAATATGTTTTTCCCCTGCACCCAACCTTGTAGCTTCATCGTGTTGGTTTGGGTTAGGCCACCCGCTGAAAAATAAGACAACTCCATACGTTTCTGTTCCATCTCTTCTTCCTCCTCGTCCTCCCCTCCTTCATCATCTTCTGCCATTATCATAACTTGCATGCTTCTCTCTGGGCACCTGTGCCCTGGGCTGTAGGGCCCCCCACAATGAAAGCACCTTCCTTCCTCCCTCCTCTTCACATACTTTGGGTAAGGAAGATTCCTCACCCTTTGTTCCGCGTGTCCCCTATCGTATTACTCCCAGCTTTGGAAGTCATCATATTTATCGTTCCTTCCTTCCTTGCAATACTCCCACTAGTAGTTGTCCCCTGCCCATTCTGACTACCCTTAAACGTTTCGGCCCTGGAGACCGCCCCAGAACCTAACTAATATCTTCCCCATGACGGATTGTTCTTGATAGTAGTTCCTCCACTCATACTTGGGTTATTTCCAGTTTCCTCTACGTCTCGGGCTACCTCCATCGCTGTTAATAGGTCTCTTAGGTTGTGGGGTCTAATCCGGTTTCTAATGTCCCCTTGTAACCCCGTAAGAAAATATACCAGCAACTGCTCCTCTGTCACTCCATTAACTTGAGCCACAAGCATCTCAAACTCTTGAATGTACTCATCCACCGTTCCCTTCTAGCTTACAACAGCTAGCTTCTCAAAGACAAACACTCTATTCCTCCCTCCGAACCTCCTTATCAGCGCTTCCGTCAAATCGTCCCAAGGGTTCTTGGTTTTCTTTTTCCAGAACCTAAACCAATAACTCGTACCTCCCTCCAGATGTACGCTAACCTGAGCCTGTCCTTCTCAATGACACTCTCAATATCAAAGAACTTCTCTGCCTTCGAAATCCACCCCATCGTGTCTAGCCCCTCAAGTGGGCAATTCCATCCGCTTCATCCAATTTCGTTGCATTTCGCCCCTTTCCTCCTCCAATTCTTCCTCTGACCCCTCTTTCTTTCCTAACCGATCTACATTCACTGATTCTTGGCTCCCCTCTGAGCTCCTGTCGTGGTTCCTCGCCCTTTTTCGAAGAATTCGCGTGATTTCTTTAATTTCTTGGTGTATCTCCCGTGTTTAAGCCTTCGATTCCTCCACCGTTGTTTCCAGCGAATCCAGCCTTCCCTCCACAGCGTTCATTCTTGCTTCCATCTCGTTCCTCTCCCAAGGAACCGACAGGTCGAACCAATTTGATAGATTTCTTTAGTTTAGGAATCTATCCCACTCGCTTTCAACACTCACCAACATAGAAATTAGAAAAACAATACTGTATATTATTCTTGTAATCAAAGAATACAGATGTACAACACTAAACTCTCAAGGGAACACTTTCCCTCTATAGGAACAACCTCCTATCTATACAACTAATATAAAAAACCTAACCCTTTACCATAGCCCTCAACCTTCTTATAAAGGTCACCCCTAACCTGACCACTACTAAGTTACAAACACCCTCTAACCGCCTCACCATTTCATTCTCATAAACCCTTACCACCCTATCAAAAACATTGTGTACCTTGTGCAATTGTTGTAAGATGGTGAGCAAATCACCTCCAACGCAGTGCTCCAAAATCAAACCCATGTGATGAGAAGTCTTATACCTACAAAGGAACCACACTTTAGAAACCTCTTTTTTTCCTTCCAAAGCAAGCTTTTTAATAGGATATTACTAGTCAAAAAGTTCTACAACATTCCTATGACGCAATTCCGAATGAATCCTGACCTGTAAAAAAGTGCGAGAAAACACAATGTTATAAAGCAGGTATGTATAAAGTAGGTAGGGCTAGGCACAATTTACTTAAAAACTCTAAATTATAGTTTATTTATACTCTTTTGTACTTAAAAAAACTTAAAACTATTTTTACTAA